CCTCCAGCTCTAACCAAGCCACGAACGGACAGTCATGAACCATAAACTGTTTATCTCTTTTATCTCTTTGATTGTATATTTTATATTGAGCCTGTTTTACCGTGTTGTACGTGTTCACTTCCGTTCTGCGAATACACGCTGTTCGTCCCCCCACTGTGTTCTTCCGCCCGGGGCTCCCGTCCACCGTATTTGCCCGTGGATTGTGTGATTAATCGCGTTGTTGTGCTTGTTGTACTTCAGCTCGCGGATATACCTGGCCTTTCCCCGAACATTGCACACTACAGATCAAGATGTCAATTTCAGTGGAAGACCTGAATATCATTTTGTTGCAGCAACAGCAGCAATTTGAAACAGCACAGCTGCGTATGATTGAAACCCTCACCCAAATGTTATCTGTGCAGCCTACGGTCGTTCAGATCAATGGGAAGCCTTCGGCGGATGCGATGATCAGTAGTGTTAATGAGTTCATATTCGATCCTGACTCAGGATTAATATTCGATGCGTGGTTCAGGCGCTATGAAGATGTTTTCAGGGCAGAGTTGTCAGGTCTCGATGATGCATCTAAAGTTCGCCTTTTGTTACGAAAACTCGGAACGGTTGAACATGACAGATACATTAACTACATTTTGCCAAACAACGCGCATGATTTCAGCTTTGATGATACAGTTGCTCGACTTACAGCGTTGTTTGGAGACCAGTCGTCTCTTTTCAATAACCGATACAATTGTCTAAAGCTATGCAAAAAGGACAATGACAGTCTTATTGCTCACGCGGCGATAGTCAAACGTGAATGCCAGAAATTCAAACTGAAGTCGCTCACGGAAGACCAGTTCGAGTGTTTGATACTAGTATGCAGTCTACAGTCCCCAAAAGACGCCGAGATACGAACGAGAATACTTGGTATGTTGGAAGGCGACACAGATGTTACATTACAAAACGCCATTGCTGAAGCCCAAAGAATCATGAATTTAAAGCACGATACGGCTATGGTGGAAGATTCGAGAGCACATTCGGCAGATATATCTGTCCAGCAAATTTCAGGAAACAACCCACCGACCGCTCAATCTAGCAGATATCCACAATCCAAACCCACATCACCTTGCTGGCAATGCGGAGGATGGCATTTTGTGAGATGGTGTCCTTTCAGCAAACATGTTTGTCAAAGGTGCTTTAGACGGGGGCACAAGGAGACCCACTGCAGATTCAAAACATCATTTAGATCGTCATGTGATACTCGAAAAGCAGGTTACCGAAAGTTCACGACAAGAGTAAACGCTAACTATACGGACGATGTTAAAGATAGAAGAAAGTTCGTCACTATTACCATCAACGGAAGAGTAGCGCGTCTGCAGACTGATACGGCTTCCGATATTACAGTCATTACGGAAAACTTATGGAAAGCTATCGGTTCACCTGACATTAAACCAACTAACCATAAAGCGAAGAGCGCATCAGGTACGAGTCTAAACTTGATCGGTCTGATTGAATGTGAGTGTCGCTTTGCCAACTTCACCGCTTGGGGAACTGTTTTCGTCACAACACACAAGAATTTGAACCTCCTTGGATTAGACTGGATTGAGCGATTCAACCTCTTAGATGTTCCCATTAATCAAATCTGTGCAAGTGTACACTTACACAAACCAAAAGTCCCCAAGGCAATGGCAATCGAACAAATTCGAGAGAAATATGCACCTGTTTTCCGTGAAGGACTTGGTAAGTGTACAAAGTTGCAAGCCTCATTGTCCTTAAAACCCGATGCTGTTCCTGTTTTCCGTGCAAAGCGGCCAGTACCTTACGCAGCAGTCCCAATTGTTGACCAGGAACTTGATCGTTTGGAGAAACTTGGGGTTATCTATGCAGTGAACTACTCTTCTTGGGCGGCTAAAATTGTGGTTGTCAAGAAGCCGAACGGCCAGATCCGAATATGTGCCGACTTTTCTACTGGGCTAAATGAAGCGTTAAACACGCATCAGTATCCTCTGCCAGTCCCAGATGATTTGTTCTCGAAACTAAATGGGGGTCAGTGTTTTGCCAAGCTAGATCTATCGGAGGCGTACTTACAAATAGAAGTTGATGAAGCTTCTAGAGAATTACTGACGATAAATACGCACCGAGGTTTGTATAGCGCGTAGATCGTGCGCTATATATCCGGTACGCGACTAGACGGCCAACCAAAAATAATGGATAGAAGACACAACAGTAAGCTAGGGAAAAGTTTATTGGACGGGAGGAGCGTTAGCTAATGCTAAAAATAGGGCACCCGGAGAGAGCTAGCTAGGGAGAATGTCGATGGCGTCGAGTGCGTTGACAGAGCGTCGTTCGCAATCGAGTCGCGCGCGCCAAAGGCCGAGGGGAAGGCGTTCGTGTTTTCAACAAACGGGAACAACGTTCCAACAAGCAAACCGCCTAGTTCCCTAATACATAAGAAAGCTATAATTTGAATGTATTTTAGAATAGTTTACACAGTCATACGGGGGAATCTCCAGGTCGCTACACAGCCCCCCTCCTAGAAGGGAAACCGTGGTTGACCCTTCGATCTACGTGAGGACTGTCCGTCGCGGGCCAGCCTTCTGCGAGACCAGGTAGTGAAACCTGATGCAGCTGCTGGGGGAGAACCAGGCGATCGGACCCTAGCAGGCTCCCACCTGTGTCCTCCCTAGCGGTGCCAAAAACACAAAATGGGGGGGAAGTTGGTAAGCGTCAAATGTTCGCGAGTTCGTGAAGGTCAAGTGTTCGCTTCAGCCTCGGCATCTCCTCCGGTTCATACATGGAAGATAAACGGAAACAAGAGCAGTGACGGTGGGGGCGAGGGCAAAAGCAAAAGTGACACTTACCGGATGAGGTAAGCGTCAGGCAAAACGCAGCTCTTTTTGTGTTTTCAAAACGTTTTGTTCTTTTTTGGGTTTTCAAAACATTTTGCGTAATTTTTGGGTTTTCAAAAAAATTTTGTCGGTTTTTTTGGCGTTTTCAAAAGCTTTTGGGGGTTTGGTACGTTGTTGGCCAAAAGGGAAAAGAAAAACGATAAGGAAAGTGAAAGGAACACTAATCCATTAATCGCGCTGGCCAATGAACGCGTCTACCCGACCTAGTCGACTTGTTCGAATCAGAGGACGGCGTTGGCTTAGACATCCTAGAGGGTCGCAGAATTGGAGGAACTGCTGAAGACGTGGCGGTTGGTCCGATGGGAAGCGGCGGAGCCAAAGTGGCAGACTTGGATGGGACGTGAAACTTGGGGTCAGGGATGTTGGAAGCAGTCGAGTCTTCCATCATAGGCTGCGTTGATTCGTCAGAAGACGAGTAAGGGTCTTCGTTGAGCTCAGGTTCTACGTGAGCAACCTTGAGACGGTCAATTGTAACGGCTTCGCGTTTACCGTGACGGTCGATGATAAAAACGCGGTCCTTACGCTGCAGAACCTTGAAAGGACCTTCGTAAGGTCGCTCCAGTGGTCTGCGGAGACCATCAAGGCGGAGAAAAGCGAACGGACAATGCTGCAGGTCTTGTGGAATATAAGATTTACGTTGTTGTTCTCTAACGTCGGGAAGCTTGTACTGACGCATGCTCGTGGCAAGCTGACGTGCATAATTTGCGTCGTAACGGGTAATTCTGGAACTAACGGAGAAGAAATCGCCAGGTAAACGCAGTGGTTGTCCATATACTAACTCGGCGCTGGACGTACGTAGATCGGCCTTTAGGGCTGATCGGATCCCAAGGAGGATCATAGGCAGCGCTTCAGTCCAACTCAGCGCATTGGCGGCGCTAAGTGAGGCTTTCAACTGTCGGTGGAAACGTTCCACCATGCCGTTCGCTTGCGGATGATAGGCGGTCGTGCGAATGCGTTGGCATCCGATGAGTTTAAGGAGATCGTTAAAGGTCGTAGATTCGAATTGCGGACCGCGGTCTGTAGTCACTGTGGCTGGACAGCCGTGTGAAGCGACCCAGCGCTCGACAAAAGCGCGTGTTACGGTTTCCGCAGCTACGTCAGGGATGGGAACGGCTTCGGGCCAACGGGTGCAACGATCGATCATGGTCAAAATATAGACCATTCCTTTGGACGGGGCCAAGGGTCCCACTATGTCGAGATGGACATGGGCAAATCGCGCTGAAACGGACGGAAAGCGACCAAGCGGAGCGGACACGTGCCGCTGAATCTTGGCTTGCTGGCAGGTGAGACAGCTGCGTGCCCAACGCGTAAGATCGCGTTGCATCCCCGGCCAAACGTATCTCTCAGAGACAAGCTTAGCAGTAGCTTTAATGCCTGGGTGGGCGATATTGTGGAGGGTGTCGAAAACGATACGGCGAAAAGTTTCTGGAACGACGGGTCGAGGTCGTCCGGTAGATGTGTCGCATAAAATGGTACCATCAGATGACGGCAGAGGGTGCGGGGATATCTTCAAAGAAGAATCGCGGAGTTTCGAAAAAGTTTGGTCGTTTGATTGCGCGGCGGCCATAGCAGACAAATCGATTGCCTGCCCGGCAGGACCAATCGCAGATACTCTTGAAAGAGCATCAGCGACGACGTTTTGTTGGCCAGAAATGTGTCGGATATCAGTCGAGAATTGAGCAATGAAATCCAGCTGACGAATCTCACGTGGTGAGTGTCGAGCTGATTGATTTCGGAATGCGTAGGTAAGCGGCTTGTGATCGGTGAAGATAATGAAGGTGTTACCTTCGAGGACGTGTCGGAAATGTCGAACTGTAGAGTAAACGGCTAGCAGTTCGCGACTGAACGTGCTGTACTTAAGTTCGGCAGGCTGTAGGCGTCTAGAGTAGAAGGCAAGAGGTTTCCAGTCTCCATTTGTATGTTGCTGTAGGACGGCGCCAATGGCGCTGTCCGATGCGTCGACAGCAACACTGAGCGGAGCGTTCGGATCGAAGTGATGGAGCATAACGGCTTTAGCTAAGGCTTCTTTGCTGGCTTTAAAAGCTTCAGCAGCAGCGGCAGTCAGTTCCACCTGACCGTTTTTACGTCCACGAAGTAGGTCGGTTAGTGGACTTAGCAAATTGGCACAGTG